AATACACTTTATTATTTTTTGAAAAGTCAAAACGTTCGACGTTACCGTCGACCCCCACTATACAAGGCTTGATTAAACATTCATCAAACCGCGCCATAAAGCAGACATTCCGACCAATCGCTGGAAATTGCCGAATACTCGTCGACTGCGACATAAATGTAAACATGGATGGCTGGGAAAGCGGCGGAGTAATTACGCGATGCACAGTAGTTGGATACTTTTGTAATTTTAGGAAATATGAAGGTCCGCCGTATACGACGAGATATATATATACGTAATTAGAAAATCGCATATGTATGCAAACTTGATTAATGTTTCATTGAAAAAGTCATAACCAAAACGATTGCGATTAAGTTTTACGAATGTGAAATACAATAAAGCATTGTTTTTCCATTATTTTTTAATCGACTCCACGTTATCGGAAATTCGATTCAGGCGTCACCTATACATTAGGCAAGAAATTAAATATTGAAAATTACAAAATTATCTCTCGACATACTCGCGGAGGAAAATCGATTTTAAAATCGCGGAGAAATTCACGCGGAGAAAAATTGATGTCTATACACGGAAAGAACAATTTTGCTGAATCCAGAATCTGAAAATAAATTTTTCTTCAATAATCAAAATATAATAATTTGGTGCGAAAGTTAAAATGATTGCTCGAATATCAAAACGTTTCGTAGCAAGCGTAGCTCTTATTACTCTTATTAGTTTTAACATTCCAACAAATTATTTTGATGATTCAACAAAAAATTATTTTCAGATCTGTATTTAGCAAAATTTTCAGACCTTTCAACAAAATATCGTTCTTTCCGTGTATTTCTAGTAATGTAGCAGCATTTTGTATTCTCCGTCGAAACGCGCGGCTGTTATTGCGTCGTCACACGTATTGCGGCGTTACCGGGCGAATGGGGATGCTAGGCGAGATCATTATTTCTCACAGCTCGGCGCAGAGGCGTGCGAACGTACCTTCTCGGGGTACGTAAAAGCCGCGCGGCTATCGGCTAGAGGCGACGCTTTGTGAACCGTGTGCTCGAGTGAGCATTACGTCTAAGCAAGTGCCGTGCAACATCCTTGAAAAGTAGTCCAAGTGAATAATGACTCGGAACAATGCGAACGTATAGGGAGGGAAAGAGGGGGGGGAGCTGCAGGAGCAGCATCGCCTCGCGAGAGACTTTGCCGCGGTTGCGTTCTTTTGAGCGCGAGATGCAGCGGCACTTTTCGCGACTCGTCACGTTTCCCCATTCAGAAGTCGACGGCGTATTTTTGTCGCACGAGCGAGAAAATAATGATCGCGATCACAAAGCGTGAGCGCCTCGTCGCGAGGCGTAATCACGCGTTGAAGTATACCCTATATACGCGATGGTGTGCGCGTCGCGCGCGCGACAAAAAAGTAGACGCATAACGTCACGCGCCCAGACCACCGAAATATATAGAGCAACCCTCCGCGAATAACGCGTGTGCGACAGGCGGGAAAATAAAATCCCGCTATGCCGAAATAATTACGCCGAAAACTGGTGCACATCAAGATTTTATTTTCGACTCATGTTTACTCATTACGTTACACACGCCGTTATTACCTGCGGCGGCTAATGTAATTGTTATCCCATCCCGCGATTCGCGACAGCGTAACAGGACTTTCGTGATAAGGTAATGCGTGAATTATGATGCATTATTTTATTAAAATTATACCTCCTATATATACGCGCAACGTTTTTCCTCGCGCGGCGAGACACGCGTTATTCTCTTTATCCGGGAATTTTTTGTTCAGTTTACAAACCAAATCAAGTATAATTCCAATGGCTCGCAAATGCGCTTTGAATAGGGATATCAATTAACATTCCTGCGTCGACGTTCGGCAATTGGAAATCGCGCGGCGGCAATTCCCCGCGAGACGTTCTCTCCACGGCGTTGAGAAAACTGCGGGACCCATTGAATCACGAAGCAATCGAGTCTGACGACTGAGTCGGGGATATTCGAGGTCGTTCTTCTCCTGTCTCTCGTTCGCACCCCGCGCCATTTGTCTTCCCCGCCCCGTGAAAGTCTCTCCTTCGCCCATATAACGGCCTCGTGGCGCGACGCGGCGGCTCGCGGGCTCGTCTCGAACAAAATCATAAAAGTTTTAGCCTACTACAACTTTTCGAGATACGAAATGCGGTCTCTCATGTGTGCTCGGGAAGAAGGTTTTCGATGTTAGCCACCTCTTGACGTTCTCGATCGCTTTGTTATTTCTTTCTTATAAAATGTATGTAGACGTGGATTTAAAAAAAAAATCTGTGTGAACGTGACATTACATATATGTATAATCTGATTTTTTTTTGCAAAATTTGGAATTGATTCTTTTCTGACGACAATGGGACTTTAATCATCTTCAAATATTGTTCGTCGCTCAAATTGCAACATAAATTGTACTTTAACAGAATATTAATTTCTCAACAGTTGTAACAAATAATATTCAGTCACAATTTTCATTAATAAAAACAGAATTCAAATTTTATAAAAAAAATAATACGGTTTATGTAGAATCATTGCACCAATCGCTGAACTATTATCAATAAATAGATGTTTACGAAAAATATTAAAATTATAAGATTAAAATAATAATTGCAAGTCAATTGATATTTTTAAATCTAATTTTCGTACAGATTCGAATAAAATATTATTTTCTACTTGCAAATGTAATTATATTAAGTAAGTAGTAAAAAGTAGTAAGTTAAGTAGTAAAAAAGGATATGTGCCTTATAATCTATAACAGAAATTTACTATAAACAAAATGGAATGTATAAACTAAAAAAAAGTATTCAAATTATAATTATTATTTAAAAAAAAGTATCTAACAATCTATTAACTAATTAACTAAATTAAAAATATATATATTTTTCTTTTTAAAAAAAATTTATTGCTAATCATTTATTAATACCTACGTATCGATTAATTGCAGCTCGCAGGCCATTTATTGGTGCGTTTTCTCACGTTTTTAATCAAAACAATTTTTTTTATTATTAAAAATAACATATTTTAAGAATATTTTTAAAGAATGAATAAACAGCTATTAATATTGAATGGGGTTTTGTTATTTTTCCTTTTTTAACGCACTATATTTCACAATATACAATTGAATTTTTTATTTATTCATTGACTGATGCTGTTAATGCGCATCCCGTTTGCAGATTTATCTATTCTCAATGCGCGCTTTCTTCACGCCATTAGCATACGCGAAATAATAGCTGTTCCACTTAAGGAATTGCTATATAATACATATAAGAATACACACAAGATTTGCCCTTTATTTTCGTTCTAGCTCGTTTGGCGGTCAGACATCGACTGACTTTCATCAAACATATTTAGTCGATAGCAATCGACATGTTTGTTAAGACAACACTATTCGAGGTCAAATTCGTGACGTTAGTTCACAACAGGTGCCGTGAACCTATCTACTTTATACTTTCACGGAAAGAACGATTTTGCTAAAAGGTCTAAAAATTTTGCTAGATATAGATTTGAAAATATAATTTTGTTAGAAACTCAAAAATATTGAGCACTGCTGTAAAACGTTTTGATATTTTAGCAGTCAATTGGACCTTTCAACAAAATTATTTTCAGATCTGCAAAATTGTTCTTTATGTGTTCACTTCATCCTAATAGATACACGATAAGAACGATTTTTTTAAAAGGTCAAAAATTTTGCTAAAAACAGATCTAAAAATAATTTTTTGTTGGATCATCAAAATAATTTTTTGGAATGTTAAGACTGATAAGCATTGCTATAAAACGTTTCGATATTCTAGCAATTATTTTAACTTTCGCACAAAATTATTTTGATTATTGAACAAAAATTATTTTCAGATCTGGATTCAGCAAAATTGTTCTTTCCGTGCACATATGTGCGCTCAACTTTGAATTCTTTCAAAGATGAGGTTGTTTACACACACGAACATTTACCTTCTCAGAAAAATTATAGGTAGTTCCGAAAATCAGAAAACTTTTCAAAAAGCGAGGATTTCTTCCAAAATCCAAATTATTTTCTTTTCGCCTTCTCTATTCATACGCGTTGAAACGTCACATCGCCTGCACAGGTTTATCCGCCAATGAAAATTTTGGATATGATCCCTCACTCTGATGCGTAATTAATTAACGCAGAGAAGTGGCGCGTTTCAGGCGTTCTGCCGTTCCCAATAGCATTTTCTAGATTGAAGGTAATTAAGAGCTTATTATTATATTGTAACGCGTATTAAAACATGTATACACTGCACGTCCGCGTATATCGCGGCAATTTGTTACGCTTTGTGAATTAGTTCGCCAGCAAATTTATTAGTTGTTGAATTTATTAGCATAATTTTATCCCCGCGTGCACGCCAGCGAAACGCGCTCCTCGCGCGTTTCGATCCACACACGTGATTTTCTTGTAAACATCAACCCTCAGTCGCGCGCCCTCGTGTTTTTTAAAGCACGTCGTTCGCACTTACCGGATTTTTTTAAACCGATGTTTGCATATTTAAGCAGCATGAAAGCAAAATGGAGATTAAGCCTCAAATATATACGGCTCTCCAAAATCTACAGACGAAAAAAAGGTTCTGCGACCTAAATTCACTAAAATAAATTAACGAAAAAAAAACCGGGGGATTTTCCCGAATTAAGCTTCGATGGTGCGAACCGAATAGCAAAATCTTATTTTACATTTAAATATAAATGGCCGCTTTGCAAAAATTACTTGCAAAGAGATCTAATTACGGTATTAATTAAAACGATATCTAATCTTGCGCGCTAAAGAGTTGCGAATACGAAAGTAGCGTACAATTGAATTTCCGTTAGAAAAGAAATCGACTCCCAAGAATTGGTCAAAGCGCTTAAATGAGAGGCGAAAGCGCTTCGAAATATAAAAAAAAATTCTTCTCTGTAAAAATTCTTAAATTTCTGCACAGCGTAACGGCGAAAAGAAATTAAATGGCACCGAGAAGAGAAGCCGTCTACTTCTTTTTCCCCCTTTTCTCTTCCCACAGAGCGTGTACAATCTGCTAGGCGAGACGCTGTCGAGGCTGCAACAGTATGCGGAAGCGGAGCGGTGGTTCCAGGCGAGTTTGGCCAGCCAGCCTGACCACGTGCCGGCCCACATCACTTACGGGAAACTTTTGGCACGGAACGTAAGTAGCCGGTCGTTTTGCTTTTAGATCGCCATCGCCTGCCATCGCCGCTCTATTTCACCTTATCGCGATCTACTTTCCAAAGTATGACTATATATCGGCCGACTTACCACTTCGAGAAACTTGTACTCCGCGTTACGCAATATAATGCGCGATGTAAGCGATACTTTGGGTCAGTGCGAAGTCCCCCCGCTCCTCCCGGCTGTTACATCTCCAAAAAGTGAATTTAGTTTTTGCGTCAAATATCAACTCTACACTTCGATGGTATTAACGAATAACACAACGGATGACAAAATTTCAACAACAAACAAAATTCTTTTTTAGAAAACCAAAGGTCCTCTCTTTTTTTTTTAGAGAATTCAGCGCTGAATGTAAATCTATTTTCCCGTTTCTCGCGTTAGATATTGTTTTTTCCGTGACACTCAATTTTGCGAGTGGACGTTGCGTATTGTGCCAAAATTGTCAACGAAAATTGCGATATGTTCCTGTGGCGAGAGGAAAATTTGCAGTTGCCGTAATTGTAAAAGTTTCGATTTTTCTTTAACGCCCAAATACACGTGTCTTATCCCTGATGATTTACATTCAGCGTATGACATACATACATACACACATCCACACACAATTTAACGGATATAATATATATTCAAAAATCTTGTCCAATGTAATAGGACAAGCTCCTGAACCGGTAGCAACCGCCCGGGGGAGGGGGGACAGACAGGGCTATCGAGTTCGCGGTGGCTCACAAGTCGCCTCTGCTTTCTCTCTCTTTAGTCGAGCCGCGTCCTGGAAGCGGAGAGATGGTTCCTGAGGGCCCGCAGGCTGGCGCCGGACGACCCCAGCGTGCACCATCATTACGGTAAGGCGCGACCGAGAGCTCCTTTATAATTGCGACCGCAGGAAAGCGTCGTCGGCGTTGCCCGGAATTCGTCAGTAGGCGTCTCCGGTTACTCTCGTCTCCCTTTTTCCATCTGGCGGGTCCGCCCCTCCGCCTCCGTCTCGACCGCGTCGCAATTTAAATGTCTAATGCCCCGTATTTGTAGTCGTCTTCGGCGGGTGATAAGGGAAAATCCTCGTTCATTATTAAAGCAATGAAATACGCTCTCTTAAGCATCTCGCTTTCGCACCCGTCTAACGCATCCCCGAGAGCGTTCTTCCCCTTCCCTCCCCCCCCCCTCTCCCTTCTTTGTCCTCATCCCATCGTCACCGTCGGTCGCCGCAGCCGAGACCCCATTGTAACAGCGGTATAATTGATTCCCGATCCCCGAATCCGTTCTGAATAGGGAGTCCTCGAAGTTCCCTTCGATTGCCGAAGGGGGGAATCGCGACGGGAGAGAAAGAATCAAAGAACCAAGATTCGAGGAGTCGCTTAATAGGAGGGGGAGATAAGAGGATTGCCGATTCGTCGAGCCGCTATAAATACCGTTGTAATATTTCCTGCGGGAATGATAGTCGATCTCTCTGACGAGAGTAGGAGGGCTAATCGAAAAGAAGGACGGATACCAGAGGACACGGAGGGGGGGGGGAGAGGGGAGATGAGTCGAGATGCCGGGGATGAATCGACGGGTATTAAAATTCCGGGAAAACGCGGCGACGCGCGCGCGCTTCAAAACGTCAGCCGTTAAATTGCACCGAGATACGGAGACAATCTTTTGCCGCGTATCCTTTTTTTTTTCATTCGCCCAGTATAACGTTTGTTATTAATATAAATTGACGTAATCTGTAAGCTTAGGATTGCATTCTTTCACTTAATTAGTTAATAATAAATTGAACGTGTCCGTCGAATTTTAAATTAAACACATTGCAATATAAGTACCTCAAATTTTTGCCTTCTCTTATTAAAGATGTGTTAGTGTTTTATTTATGGCGTTATAAATTTCTCTCAAATTAAAAATACCGCTACGCAAAAATATTTCTTTGTCATATTTACATTCCTCGACGTCACGTGTTTTTTTCTGAAGTTTTCATGCGCGAAAAGCTTTTAAAAAAAAACACCTTTTTTGTCTAAACATCTCTCTCTCTCTCTCTTTCAAATTTATTGTACAAAAGAAAAGTCGATCTACTCAAGCGCAAAATAACGAATTATTGAATAGATTTGATGAAGGCATTAAACAAATAACTGCCACATGTCGATTAACGATCTATCGAGCGACTTGACTAACTGCGGTAACAATACACGACGTGCAAATTGATCGAACGCGGTCTCGCGACACGTACAATGATGTCTGTTTGGAAAATTTCCAGGGCTGTTCCTGACGTCGCAGGGCCGACTGGTGGAGGCTGCCGAGGAGCAGCTGCGAGCGGCCGAGCTGTCGCGGTCCGATTACGAGCTGTCGGTCGCGGCGGCCTCGGCGCTGAGGCAGGCCGATCGTCGCGATGAGGCCGAGGTCTGGTACCGACACGCGGCCAGCCTGAGGCCGCACGAGGCCCGCAGCCACACGAACCTCGGCGCGATCCTACACCTGAACGGCAAGTACAAGCAAGCCGCCGCGGCTTACAAGGAGGCTCTCAGGTTACAGCCGGGCGACGCGACGACCATAACGAATCTGCACAAACTGGCGGCGATCTTGGCGTGACCTGAAGAATGCCGAGGACGCGACGGCGACGGTGAAAGAATTCGAGGACGGAGAGACGATGAGAGTGGCGACGGTGTGTATCATACGACCCCACGCGACGAGGAGGATCCCATCTTATACAGATCTTACCGTGTACCCCGAGACCCCCCACCGGCCCGATCTTCCTACCGATATTCCGTTTATATCTCTGCGTCGTCGGTGACGCGCGCGCGTTCGTCGTTCGCGTCGACGACGCGCGGCCGACTCGTATCGCCTGCTATGGTATGTAAAGAATAAAGCTTCCTTTATTTTTCTCTAATACACGGCGGTGTATTTCATTATTCATTGCGAATTCCCTTCCCTTCTATATAGATTAAGTAAGGCACGAATATAAACGGAAAGAACAATTTTGCTGAATCCAGATCTGAAAATAATTTTTCTTAAATAATCAAAATAATTTTGTGCGAAAGTCAAAGTGATTGCTAGAATCAAAACGTTTTATAGCAATTATGCTTATCAGCAGGCGTCGGTAAAATAACTAATACAATTTATTTAAAATAACAAATGTAAAATAGATTCCAGAAACTTATTTAAAATAAAATATCGCAGGGGCCAATAAAAAACTGATACGACTTATTTAAAATGAAAAATATAAAATAGATTCCGAAAACATATTTAAAATATTAAATAAGAAATAGATTAGAAGAAATTATTTAGAATAGTAAATACTAAATAATTCTTTTACTTTTTTTTATTTAAAATATATATTTTGAATAATGTTTTTCTAAATACAATCGATCTCTGATATGCAGGAGTCGGTAAAATAGCTGATATATTGAACCTATTTAAAATATCAAATATAAAATAGAAACATGAATTATTTAAAATAAAAAATATAAAATAGATTCCAAAAATATATTTAAAATATTAAATATAAAATAGATCAGAAAAAGTTATTTAAAATAATAAATACTAAATAACTCTTTTACTTTTTGTTATTTAAAATACAAATTTTAAACAATGTTATTTTAAATACGACCGACCCCTACTTATCAGTTTTAATATTCCAACAAATTATTTTGATGATTCAACAAAAAAATTATTTTCAGATCTGTTTTTAGCAAAATCTTTAGACCTTTTAACAAAATCGTTTTTTCCATGTAAGAATATGATTATTTTGCAAAACTGTTTTTTTTATACAGTTTTTAACGCGGTAAAATATTTTCTTTTTATTTCCTTTAAATACGAAAGCTCTTATATATACTGTATATATATATATATATAAAGTATCTATAGAACATCGATTGCTTCGTCCTTCAATCGCAGAAATGGATTACGGCGGATTAAAAGAAAGCTGAGCTGCTCACTGATTCTCGTTAATATAGATTTCTTCAAATTTGTCTCAACGCAAGATATCTTCCTTCTCCTATGTACACACAGAGACAGGTAAGTTCACGTAGATTCGATAAGGGCAGATCGATAATTATTTTGAGCCGAGACACTTAGCTCCGCCGCGTGTGCCGTCACTTTCCCATCTATAAATCAATCGTCTCAAAATGGAAGAAGAAGACGAAAAAGTCAGATCGAAACGTTTTGCGCGTCGTTCGAGAGGATTACTTGCGATTTCTTTTGATGGAGCTCTGGATGAGATAAACCACGGAAATTCTCCGGTGAAAAGACTACGACTTCGCTTTAAATGTTATCTTCTTTGTATTAATGCCGAATACGTTCCGGTACACACCGCGCGTTGGAATTTTTATTTTATTGCTATACATTGGTAATTTCAGTTTTAGTTTACAAAAATTGTCCACGCGTTTTTATTATTACACTGTTTTCTTAAATACACAAAATTATATTAGCCGATATGAAGTAGTCAGATTTGCCATTAGGATTTCCCGCGGCTGCAGATATTCGGATATCCTCTCTCTTTCTCCTTCCCGCAGCGAGGTGCTGAAGCTCCATTAATATCGAATCTATTTGCACGAAGGTACCAACTGGAATATTTAAGTTTACACTTTAAATCACACCCCCGAGCGAGTGCCAACGGTGCGAGCGAGCCCGGAGGCGGAATCGTGAGGGGATGACGGATAGAGAAACGGCGGAGAGAGAGAGAGATGGGGGGAGGGGGAGAGAGAGAGAAAAGGTGAGAAGGGATGAAAAAGCGGGCACACGGAGCCACCTGTCGCTCCTGTCGCACTGCTGCGGAGACAGTCTCGGCAAACACTCCGCGACCGTCGCGACGGCGCAGCGGTTACGAAGCTTTGTTCCGCGAAGAACTCGCTTCGTTATCTTTAAAGCGGAACACCGTCAAGAGCGTCTTTCCTCCTCCCGAAAAGATGACTCGCCCTCCTCCCGCCCACCCTCCGCCTGCTCGGCGGCCGCATTGCGCCCCCACCTCGGCCGTTTTATTTTTCGCCAACTTATCCATCTTTGCGGTTGTCTCTTCCCCACGTTACCTCCCCCCCCGCCCTTCTGCACGCCCCTTTATATTCTCTCCACCTTCCATCTTTCCTCGCGATCTCCAACTTTCCCTACGTTCTCTCGCTCATTGTTCCAGACGCGCTTCGTGTGGCGACAGAGATTAACTTCTTGCATCTGAATTGCCGTGGGATTAATTTCAGGACATTCTTTTGCAAAGTATTCACGTTTACGCTATCACAATTCTTGTTTGTAAGATTACCTTCTCTTCGTTCGACGTTGCTGGAGATAATTCCTTTCTTTAGTTTCTACGAGAAGAAGGGCAAAAGGGGGTGGAGAAAATTAGCAGCAGACATAACGGCATCATAGAAGAACTGACGAAAATGAACGTCTTCTATGTATTACACTGATTTATATCGATGTGGAACATTTTGTCAATGCTATTTGAAGTTATAGGTGTATTTATATATGTGAGACAGCACTCTCCGACTTCCCCCCCCCCCTCCAGAAAGTCGAAGTGTCTCGTCGCGTTTCCGCGTCTACTTTTCTCCCTCACTTCAGTTTTCACGCCGCCTTTTTTCCCCTGCATTATTTTACCTCAACTTCTTACCTTATAGGGCTCTTCTTTCAGTCTCGGAGGAGATCCTTTATATCTTGTATATAGAGTCCCTTATCTGTCCCCTTTTTAATACTTTAACAATACCCGACTGCCATCTCATATTTCACATCAACGTTATAACGATCACAGGGTTATTTTTACTTTTTTACCCTTTTACAAAGAGCCCCCGTCAATTTTTATTATTTTGCCACGTTACCGCTCCTCTACGCACACATATAAGTATTTTGCATCGCATATACTTCTCATTACTGTTAATTTACGCGAATGCAATGCAATATCTCCCTTTATTATTTCTACGTGCAATTCTTCTTTCGCATTAATTTTCGATTCGTTTGTTTTTTTTTTTTTAACATATACTTTATCTCGAAGATAGTTCGATCGGTCAGAATCCACGCTTGTGTACGCAGTTTCAATGTAAGTTCCGTCTCAACCGCAACAACAATGCATCCGCGAACAAAATATGACAGCCGTCGCGTTACGCGGAGTTTTCGAGTCGAGAGAGCAAAAGAGAAGGGGGGGGAAGCTTTTGTGTTCCTTCATTTATCCCTTTTTTCCTTTAGAAATAAGACTTACATTGTCTTACTTTTAGCATGCCGCGCCACTCGCTGGCCGCGTTTATCTTCCGCTATTTCTCTCCTATCCGCGCTATCCGAGCGCACGCCATCGATTTTTAACCGCAATAAAAGTGGCCCTTCGCCCGGCACAATCCGACTTTACCCACGCGCGCCATTTTATAAGCTTACAAGTATTATCATCATCCCCTTAGTTCGCTGCGCCCGCCGCGTTCGCTCCGCATTTTCCTCGCATTTCCCCGCGATTTGTCTGAATCCGTTTACGTGATTTTCCATTCCTTGGCCTCTTCCCTTTCATGCATTCCCCGTATGCACGAACGCACGTCTACGCGATCCTTTGCCGCAGTTAACGACATTCGAATGCCGGCTTTACCGATGTACCTTGTAACATTACTGAGATCCTTGCATCTCTCGACGCACGTTTATTCTCCATCTCGCTGCTGTTTTCCCATGATATTTCTGAATCTCGTTACTCGTTCGAAATTGTCACGGCTGAATCAGTGACTATTTTCAAAAGACCTTTGGACGTGTTATATTCCTTATAAAAACTGGAAAGCGTAAAAAGCGATAAATATGCCTCTCTCTCTGTTTTTTTTTACTAAATTTATCTTTGTTTTTTTTTTGTAGCTGTATAGCACATGCATAACTAATCTTCATTACTTTTTATTCAATTACACGGAAAGAACAATTTTGCTGAATCCAGATCTGAAAATAATTTTTGTTCAATAGTCAAAATAATTTTGT